AAATTTTCCCCAAACTTAGCAGCTTGGAACGATAACCATTCATTATCTCACATAGTTTCTGTAGATCAGGGGTTGGGAAGTGGCTTAGCTGGGGGGTTTCTGGCTCAGGGTCTCTCATGAGGTTGTAGGTGGCTGGGGCTACACTCACTCGAAGGCTTGACTGGGGCTAGCGGTCCTCACTCACGTGGCTGGCTGTTGGCTGGGGGCCTCTCTAGGGGGCTGCTTCAGCGTCCCCGCAACATGGTGGCTGGTGCTCCCCAGGAGACCTAAACCGAAGCCACAGCGCCTCCTATGACCTGGTCTTGCAGCCACAGGCCCGTTTGGGCAGTGTCCTGTTAAGTTGTGTGTGTTCCCGGGGAAGGTGAGACGCCCTGGGGCCATCCTGGAGGCTGACTGCATGATCTCATCGGCCCAGGCATTGCTTGTTGATTGAAGACACGACCCTTGCGCATCTCCTTGGTGCCTCCCCTGGTGCTGAGGGGGCTCTTCGAGACACAGTGGGAGCCAAGACACGGCCCTTTCCCTTACGTGGCTGATGGTCTGCCGGGGGAGATGGACAAGTAATTGACAGTTTTACAAATGGTAGAGGAGCCTCCTGAACTCTGAGAGCAGAGTCTTGGTGGATTCAGGAAAGGCTTCCTGGACGAAGGGGCTTTCAGAACTGACCCGAGAAAGCCGCAGCCTAAGAAGGGGGCTGGGAGAAGGGTCCAGCCGACAGGTGTGGAGCATCTGCTGCGAGTGGCAGGAGTTCTGGGCCCTGAACGCTTGTCTCATTTCGTCCTCACCGCAGCCCTGCCTGCCGGCCCTGCTGTTATTCCCACTTAACAGATTATAGAATCAGAGGTACAGGTGCCTGTGCAAAGTCACATGAGAGGCAGAGCCAGGCTGCGCGTTGGGTAATGTGGCACCAGAGCCCATGCTCTTTTTTTTAAAAAAAAAAATATTTTTTATTGATTTTTTTACAGAGAGGAAGGGAGAGGGATAGAGAGTTAGAAACATCGATGAGAGAGAAACATCGA